AAATGTGCGTACGTAGCACATTTTCGGCGTTTAAAAACAAAGGATAGGTTTGCAGTAGGTTAGTGTAATATAGGATGGGAGTCTTTCAGATATAGCATACACCTGGAGCAAGGCTTTCTAGAGTCTTAGGTAAACCGGTTAAGGTGGACATGGGAACGTTGCAAGTAAAATGTTAGAGTTGTAGTCCCAAATCAGCTGGGTTGAACCTAGCATGTAGTGGGTTTTCAATAGACACATCTAGTGGTTTTCAACTGTCTACACAAATTAGTATTTCGGACTTCCTTTTTTTTATGTGTCCACTTGAACCGGTGAGAACCTATGTTTTTTCTTGCTTTTTTTGTAATTATCTAAGCTGAATGTACAAATAAGCCATTTCTTCAAATAGTTGTCAGATTTGTCTGATAATATAATGATATACATACTGTTTCTCGTGTAGTGGATGCCTGTTATCACATGCTTTCGTGATTTGTTCTAACCTTTTGATGAATAAATTATTCTTTCTGTTTGTCTCATCACTCATATGTTTGCCCTTGTTAATTACTAACGTGTACTCTTGATCATCCCTTATGCGCGTATACGCTAGTACGTATGTGTCTGTATACCTACTTGAACCTCTTTCATGCTTATGAAGACTGAGTTACTCATTACTCTGAGTTGGCTATTTCTCACACTTCAGTTCACGCTCATTTCTCGTCCGTCTGCATGATCGAATGTCTGAAATATACATCCTTCAAATGCTTTCGTATTCAGCTTCTCATATGTACGTTATTAACAGGATATATCGATAAAATACATACGGAGTAAATGGAATATGTGTCTCCTTAACATCAATATCATTCGATAGTATATAGTCAGACGACAAGCTAAGACTTGAAATAATTTAGTAGTAGCGGTCTTTCTTAATCAGTTTTTATTTATTTCGAATTACTACAGATACACGAATTAGTTGAACAGATCAATCAAATGAAAGTACATCGCGAATTTTACTTGGAATTCAGCCGTGATCCACAAACCTTTATATCTCGTTGGTTAGCTAGTCAGTGTCGTGACTTTTGGGTGATGACCGATGCTACGCCGGGACATCCGGAGGAAGAGCGTCATGCTGAATTCTATAACGCTCACTGGACACAAGAAGCAGTAATGCGCTACTTTTACAACAGGGTAAGCCACTATTATTCGTTTAGCTTAAGAAACAACAATATGCAATATCCCACAAACTGGTAGAGTTCTCCCTAACAGATATTACTCAACACTAATTGGTAAGCGTCTTATGACTGCAGCAGCTATGCGTAGACCTCTTACTCTGTCCCTTTCTTTTGTAAAATGTGAAGTGTTCCCCATCGACACAGTACTTCGTTGGACAAAATGTAACCTGTTCGGTAGTGGAGCTTCAGGGTAGTAGACACATGATCTGACACTAGATGTCTCAAATGCAGTTTTGTCTACTAGTGTTTCCATATCGTAAGCTACAGTGGTATCCACTCGCTGTTGTTTTTCTAGGCTAATTGGTAAGAACACTGTCTGTTTATGCCCACCGTTGGGTTAGTGTAAGGTCTGTACGCGTAAACTTAGTGCTTGTCGTCGTATGGTCGCAGTAACGAGTCATCATTATATGTCCAGTGGCATAGAATACAAAAACCCTCACCATAGTGTTTTCCTGATTAGCTGACCCCATCTTCTAGAGGATAACATATTACGTTTACCAAGCGTATGCATTTCATGATTCATAGTGATCACTACTTACCAACACTAGACTTTTTTAAATCTGAAATAAAGCATCAGTTTGTATGGGTCCTTCTTCTTGAAACAATAAATATGGCAAATATTGAAGCCTTCGATATTTCAATTTATTCTCACAATTGGATGATAGGATACAGAATTCCCGTCTGAACTTAGGACAGCAAACTCAAACTTTATGTATCTACAAAAGCCGACTTGGTAGTTCGTTTATGCCTTTCTGATGATGTTTTCATTCCCATACAAAACGAGTATTCGTTGAGATAAGGTTTAACTGCCGCTTTTATTTCACAGATTTCCCAAAGACGACAGGACTTGGAACACGCACTGGGTCTTAACAACAATTAATGCTAAGGATTAGCTGTATTCCTGTGCATTTTAAACCAATATCGAAAGAAATGTAACCACTAGTTACTGACTTCCAATAAATATTCCGTTATTTGTTGTACATGTTTCTGTACTAATATATTTTAAAACCTATAATATCTGTTATCCTGTCAAGTGATAAAAACTTATCCTTCTTGGAATAATTTATATATTTCCTGTAATTCAGAAGTCTTCATTTCTGTGTTGCTTGAGTCACTTATTGACATGGACATACGAAGCAATTCTCTTACTGTATAAAATGCCTTTTGAAAGTAGTCACACAGAGTATACAGGTTGGATACAGTGGTGAAAATAATCAGTAATAGCCTCAAAATGAAGTTGACAGTACCATCGATGTACAACCACGAAATAGTTGGTTCGTTAAGAAATGCTTCCTAGGTTCATTAATAAATAACAACCTGTAGCCAAAACGCTAATTTGAATAAACAACCTCTGCCATACCGAACTTTATTCATGAATATTAGTTTCAAAAGAGATACAACAGCATCGATTGCTTAAATTATCCGTAAAGCCTTTATTCAGCCAGGTAGTTTGCACTTTTCTACATGTTAGACCAACAGCCAATGACTTCACGGACTAATGCCACATTTCGATCAACTGTCCTTAGCTTCCTTCCAAACTACACATATCGAAGTGTGAGGCGGTTAGGCATACACAATACACGTTTAAGCCATCTCAGTCCACGGAGATTTAAAACTTTGCCAAGCACTCTATGCCTAATCTTAGCATTGCTCGCTCGGTCATTTCAAGAAGCGTGAGCGATGCTTCGAAGACACTTATAATCAGAAACTTTTAGTCTACGAATGTCTTTACTGTGACAAACCAAGTTTCACAGCTGTGAAGTAGAACTACCTAACTTTTTTATCCGTAGTCCAGGTGTTAGAGTAAACCAGTCCTGAAGTAACGCGTCCTAGTATTGTTGCTCAAGGTGATCGGAAGACTGCGTTTTGTCAGCGTCTTCAACAAACAGGACTACGTCAACCGAACATTTCAGGTTGACGAGACATTGGTTCGAACACGGTTCAACTACATCGACTCGGGCAACCGGGTAGTATCGTCAGCCTTGACACCTGGAGTGCGACTTATACTTAAATATAGAGTGATTTAATTTAAGCTTAAGTTAGATTTGATAAGCGAACCTCATGGTCGCAAAACAGTCATTTCAAGAGCTGAGGTAGCCAGTGATCCACAGTATATTTGGCCATAATCAATGTATGGTGCGAGAGAAGGTTGAATATACGATTAACAAATATTCAATATTTTAGTGCAGTGGAAATGTGTTGCGTATGAAACGTAACTTTTCTGGCGATGGGGACGACAGTCGCTCTGTCCCAGGATGTCGTGTTACTTTAATCAACAATCCTGCTGTTGTTTAACGAAAAGTTTGCGTTCTCAAGTGGAAGACTTATCTATGGCGCTGGAGATTAGTCTCTCGCCGTGTGAGGCGAACTAGCGATCACGGTGCATTCTGATAGATACCACTGGAATAAAACACGAACTGAACCGGTTCTTGAAAACTGTCCTACAAGACTTCATTAGAAGTTGATGGTCGTTGTCCCATCAACACAAAAAGTCTCACTCATACAAGCTTTCTACCAATGGCTCGGATGAGCTCATATGCCCTGCGGTAAGTGCCAAATGTAGCTGCAGCCTTCAAATCTGCACCAAGATCCGTCCAGGTTTGTCTTTCTATTTAAGCGTAACATGTTTATACATAAGGATCGACGTTTATTGTCAAACTCGCGGTTAGGTGTAGTAGATCGACGAGTTTCAGGTTGTAAGGAGCCTGCTTACTATCTAACCGTGAATGTGCAGTGTATCACATTGGGAGAATATACACTCGTACTGTCCTGTGTTTATTACGTACATACGCAAAACAAGGTCAGCTGCTATGTTTATCAATTTCTTGGAGGTCTACTATCTGGGTTAAACAAATCCACAGTTCTCAATTACTGTGACAAGAAACGTGTACGTTTGATTGCAGTACGAGCAGACCTGCACGACATAAACTCTAGCTTCAACGTCTTAATAGACATATCGGTAACAGCCTTCTAGTCAGTATTGTGAAATGGGCCCAGTTAGCATTAAATCGTCTCGTTTATGGTACACAGAAGTTTTAAAGATACACTTATCGTGAAAATTGATTACAATATTTGGGCCAACGTCACTATATCACAAACATAAGAACTCGAGGAAACAGCGAATGACTTTGAGTCGTGTCACCTAGTTTACAAACATAACTATTACCGCCCTACCACATTTTCAAATGTAGTTTGGGACAGTAGTTAAAGCAGGTGTGAGTCCGCATCAACTACTTTAGTCCGGCCAATCTGCAAGCAATATCAACCCGTTAAATAAATCTAAACGCTAGCTGCAATAAATGCAATTTTGTATTTTTGTTTACATCAGCCTACCAACCATATGGATGTTAAAGTATCTGAGTACAAGTGCAGTTTCCAGTTTACTATTAAATGACTTTTTAATTAACCCTATTTTTAAGAAATGGCTGTGAAAATGTTTTTAAACAAAAAATACTGTCAATTGGACGGCAGTTTTGATGAATCCTTAAAGGTATTAATCAGACTATAGTACTCATTTACTTAACGGTTTCGTAATCTAGGTTGCGGTTTAATACTACACTTATTCCCAACTGTATAAACAAGCTTAGAAGAACCAGATGTTGAGTGTACGATCTGATAGCAAAGAAGCCAGTTTGTATTAACTGGATCTTATATGTGAGACGAAAATGCTAATATTTAACGGCAACCTAATAATCCAAAACGTAGTTTCCAATAGTCGCTTGCAATTGAATCACATTGTTAAATGACGGCCTAGTGCTTAAGGAGTTTGATTTCCAGCCACTACGTTTCACGTTCGGACCTCGCACTACCAACTTTGGTTTGGACAACTGAATAGCATCATTAGCCTTCACACTAAGAGTGCAGCTTATATCCAAGTACATGGGAAATCAGTTGTTTTTTCCAGCGTAAAATAAAACAGATGAACTCATATGTACTGCTTATTTGAAATTTCCAATTGATATATAGGACTGCAATTACCAAATCTCTTTTAGCATATATGAACCCTGTGTGGATTGCCTCAATATTTTCATTGTCACAGGCGTTATAAAGAGATGGATAATAGCTAGCGGTTGGACGGGTTCAGGACACGTATTTCGTCACACTTGGAACGTTTTAGCTGGATGGAATAAGAAGCTGAATTTTGGGTGCTCTTAGGTACATCAGAGAAATGCCAAATGGCTGTTAATACCTATGAAACATTTATAAATAAGCTAAATTTCCCGTATAATGAAAAAATAACAATTGTTCCTTAGTTACAATTTTGTAACACTTTTCTTCTTTGACGCATCATGTGAGTGTACATTGTCTTCGAACCTTTACAAAAGAGTTGTGAAGCAATGAGAACTTACCTGGAATGTAGGTTATAAGTATAGTAAACAAACCAAACCAATAATAGAGTGAACAATTTAGAGCGTTTGGAAGACTGAAGGAATATTCTCCTGTTTCCTTCAGTCTTTTTATACCACTTACTATTAGAAGAACCTCACCCTTAATCATTGATTATCCATGAACTTCTATGACTTACAGAAATCCCAGTTGGATACAAAACCATAAAACCTGAGTACCTTTCGAAATAAATGAATCATGAATTTTCCTTACCTTAACCAAGTTAGCAGATTTAACTTGACCCTACATATATCTGCCACATAATATGAATAACGAATCATTTCAGCAATAGACCACGATATAACAATGAGTGGGACACCCAAATTATCACGTGCAACCTAAAGTATTAAGTCACACTAAAATCACTTACTTCTGGGACTATATATAAAATTCCCCACACAACTAGTAACCGGGAAGATACCTGTAACATTGTTGTCATGACGGAAGATCTAACTAATCCTACTGCGGAATGGATTATCTACAGAAGTTAATAGTTTTTTTCTCGACAAAAATACCTCAACGACAGCTAGTGATTGGAACAGGCGTAGAAAAATATCTACTTGAACACTGAACTCAAACCACTTTCTTTTGATGGATGACTCAAATATGTACAAAGATAGTATATAACCCCATCTATAAACTATTAAAATATTATATCCGAGCAAACCCCATTAGCTGAAATCCATTGTATATTCCCAGATAACTTTTCTTGATATTCATCCGTACTTTTGAGGTATCATAAACAGATTTAAAGAATTCATTAACATCTATAGTCTCAAATATTTGGCAATAATAGTAAGTTAAATAAGGCCATGTCGACGTCTCGTCTTTTTAATTACTAAAAATGTATCTCGAATACATTTTACGCAAAACACAAAATTACTTTTAAATGGTATGGGTTCGTATGTGAGTTATGTTTGACAAAATTCTTATGATTCTCTTAAGTCCAAATAAAGGGTGAATATTCAACGTGCTATTCCCTTTTACAAGTCACTCTAAATGACGACAAACAGTGATCTGCATCACAGATCCTTAGACAATACCTACAAAAGATTTAAGTTAAGGGGATTTAGTATCTAGAGATGGTACTGACTGGTGAGTGGCATGAGTCACCATAAAATGTGGCTAGTCCTCTAAGGAAAATGGTGACTAAACACATATAACAGCGTAGTCTTTTTTACCCAGAGATCACGTTTTACAAACACAAACATGAACTATTTGCCAGGTAGTGCTTAAACTCGTCAAAAACAGTGAAGCATCTCAACTTTTTGTAGTTTAATGGTATCTCCTTCAGACATTATTTAGCCACTGTTCTTCGGGAAGATCGATTACAAAGCAAGCCATTTGTTTCTATTATATACACTTATAGATGACTGGTAAGCACTTTGATGACGCTGGAAGTAGTAGTTAACTGACATTTCAGGGGTTTTGATTTACTACATTGTAGAAGTATCAGGAGACTGCTGTCTTTATAATTAAATAATCAGACATTACCAATTTAATGGTTTTGGAGTAGTATTAGAATTACTTTGGAGAATATTTACACTTGAATTAGACGAGAACATAGGAGTGAAGCCTTAGTAAATGTATTTTGTTTGCTATATATACATCTTGATTCAAGATTCAGGGATAAAAAGTGACCAACCCATTTGTGAGTGCATTGTCCGTGAAGTTAGTACCTTTTATCCCTTATCAGAATAATTAACTCTAAGCAGAACTGGAAGATCAGTAATGTATACATTACTGGTTTCACATAAGAAACTTTAAAAATTGCTACCGTCATCTTGTGTAGTAAAGGGTATTCACACATTAGCAACTAGAACAGAAGTCAAGGTTCCAAGCTGTCTGTTTCATTTAACTTAATAAAAGTCTAATTACGTTTAGCAATCTTAAATCATGGCGGCTTCGCAATCACATGTATACACATAAGATCTCGCCTGTAAAGCATACTGTCGTGAGATTTGCAGGTACTTTGACCTACCGTAGGCTGATGCTGAGTGCAATAACCTTCTTCAGGATAATCCGACGATCAAATGCACATTAATACGCAGGAGTGCACTGGATGGGTAGATGAGACGACTAAATATAGATTGTACTACGATAAAAAGCAATCAGTGAGAGTTGTCATCTTAGGTTTCTTTCTAAGCATTATTTTGAAGAGAATTTTTGACGAGACTATAATGTATGGACAAACCAATCAAACACAAGATAACAAATCTGAGAATTTGGCGCGAACTTTATCCATCTGCCTAGATGGAGTCTTGGCATTTTGGCCGGTATCAGTTCGTGATGAAAACTTTAAATCTAGTTCCTAACCCTAATCATCAGCTGTAAATCATAATTATAACTCCTCACACTGCTTTATACCCGTCATTTAGTCCTAGTTAACAGATGGACATTCTTAGGATTACAATAATGTCGCCCAAAGGTCGTCGATGAATTATAGTCTTACAGAAAATGTGAAAGTACACAGCAATAAGCTGGGATGAACTTCCATCATTGCTTAGTTCGATTTATTTGCGAGATAGCAAGACTATCGTGGGTACCTAGCAATAATACTGCTTCCAACCTTGGATTTGCCTAAGCGCTGTGCTTTGTGTTCGTCACGCTCAATGCACAATATCACCATGTCTGGTCAGTAAACGAATGATTAGTTCGTGAGTCTTGTATTTCAGATTTTTGATCATTTTTGTTAAAAGGATTTGGGTCCCATAGTATTCTCAGACCGTCATGAACTACGTGTCTCTTTCATCAGTTTTCCGCAGTGACATATTGGACGTGCTTGTGTTCGACCGACCTAGTGTTTCTTAACATAGCTTTTCCTATTTTCAACGTTTTGCAACACTGTCATTTCTCCTTGCGTTTGCTTAGAGCTTATCACTACAAAATAGGACCTCGTATCACTATTTTATGTACATCATCACAGTTCGCAAATACTTTATATTCTTGCACAAGGTAGATGGGAAGCTCATTTACCGGAATGGAGGTATCCGCGGCTTAAGATTGTGGTGTTATATTCAAGATGGCGTTGGTCCCCGGGAAAAATTTGATTTCTTGAATTTAATGAGTATTTATGGGTGATAAACGTTCCTTTATTATTAAATGTTGTAAATTGAGTCGAGAAAGCTCGAAAGCAAAGTGTATTTCCTTATTTCTACCAACTTTCGCCCATACAGTGAATCCACATGGTACCAGTTTGAGGATGATGAAGTAATCGGCTGTCTTAATCAGTAAAGTCTCTTAGAAAAAAAGTATATCGGTTGTCGATCAGTGACTGAAAGTTCATTTTATTATGTTAAGTTTCTCAGACGAATCCAAGAACAGTTTGCATTCACATAGCCGAGAATACGTGCCGAACGATCTCTGAACCCGAAGTATTGGCTGCAACGTAGTGAAAACTTTGGTATTTATAATGGCGACTGATTTGGGCTAAAACAACGTAAATAATCGCATTGGTGAAAATTCGAACTGAACTGTGTTGTTGAACCAAAGTTGATAACGATTGAAACCATTTTATCCATAACTTTTTAGGTTTCGGATCTTCAAATTTCATTCTAGCTGGTCTGAGAAAAGTTAGAAAGGTTTACTTAAGCAATCGTGAAGTCGGAGTAAATCAAATAACGTACTGTAATATATCGGAATTGATTTGAACTTGTCATACACATTATTGCGAACAAGTGGAATCGAACTACGCTATCTACTTATAATTACCTTAGTGCCCATTAGATATTTCAGTTGATTCGCATAGATAATAAAGTTGTTGGGATTCGACTAATGTTTAATTGGTTTAAATATGGAGAGAAGTTTGATTTGACATGAATATTGAACAAATTTAAGCTCCATATCGCCAACAGGTCGAATTATCTATGTTCTGCAAAATGTGCAGTGTAAATATTTTATTCTGGTTAGTGTTTTTTAGTGAGTTGGCTTTCTACGGAATGGAGTCTCTAACCTCACGCCCGACCCCCTTCCTTTATGTGGGCTTGAGACCGGAAGTAGCCCTAGAGGGGCTCCAGGCGGGGTTATATAGTATAAATAACTGGTCTGAAATGCAGTCATATTGCGGTAATCTGATATTTGTTGAGCATTATGTAAAAGAATGGGAATCCAAAAAAATGTTGATTTTTGTGAAGAAGGGTTCATGAGAATATCATCTCATGACCCAGTCAAAGTCTCTGATTAACAAAAACATTGTTAATTATTTGTACAGATATTTGATAACCTGTGAAAGTCATTGATTAGCTGAATTCAATGATGACACACATCAAAAGGTAAAAGTGTAGATGTGTGGTTCTGGTCATTTTCATGATATAATTTAATCTCTCGTTGACTGTCTTAGTTCTTATTTGACTACCTGCTGAACTTCGGCGTCGGATTGAACCGAATTGTGTCACTGGCTTATAGGGGGCATTTTGCTCTCTCGGATAACCAGTGTCGCATTGACATTTTGTAATTTGACTGTGCTACGTTTCAGAGTGCAAAATATATACCTTTTGTTCCTTTGACTGAATGAAATTGGGTTAGATATCTGCAGTAAGCAAGTGACCAGGAGTTTGTTGCAGATACACACTACACATATCTTTATGTTCACAGTTGACGCCACTGTAACTAAAGCTTGTGTTTTCATTTGTCTTCAAATTTTCATTCTTAACGAAATAAGAATCTGTAGAAAATGCCAGAATTTCTGTAATTAATGCCCTTGTAACACTTACCACGTGGTTTTTCAAGGTTGAGACGATCCAATAGAAAATAAGCATGTATGCATTTTGGTGACCTCGAGGTGAACAACATGATCAAAGGCTTTGACTTCAAGATTCTTTTTCAGGATTACGGCGGCAAATGACAAATAAACCCAAACCCTTTATAGCCAGTCAGGACATAAACAGTGAGGTCCTCTTTGTTGCCCAGAATACGATTGAAGTTTTGAAATAACCTAATTGACTTTCGCATATTATTTTTCAATTAGATGCTAATTATTCTTATGAAGGACTGCTCAGGGATGATATGGACCTTGTTTTCGGAAAAACATGTTAATCAACCCAAAGGCACGAAGATTTGTACGAAGTAATTCATTACGTTCACGATCACCAAATTAGGCTATTACTACAAAACTTCAGTGCCTGACTGGTGCCTAAATACTGTCGGTTTACACTTAGTAGCTCTTGTATAAATGACGAATCGAAAACCGAAGGAAGGGGGAGAAAATTTAAAAGAGAGGTATATAGGAATTGACTGCGGACATAGTTACACGGTTTGATACGTTAGAGTTGAAACGTTTTTGTATAGGGAATTATAGATTTAATCTGACGTTCCGTTTCAAGCTCATATATGAGCTACTATGCTTTAAATCTTATGGTGATCTTCAATAGTTATGAACTAAGAAATCTCATTAGATTGGTCGCGATACATTATTGTGTGTCCGACATAGTGATGACATCTTCGTAAAAACGTTTCTGTCATTTGAGTTGGTTAATGATTATAATATTAGAAATGTACATCTTAAATCACTTCACTCCTTAAATTAATAGGGTTTTAAAAGAATCCCAAGACATTAGATGGGCTGCCAGTGTACTAGAAATTAAATGCCTCTAAAAATATAATTGGGCCATTTAATGTGTGAAATATTGTTAAGAAACAACCAATATTTTAAAGTAAAACTACTGACTGCTTCTTAAAACCCTGGATAGCACTCTCGCCACATAAATTATTCGGCTAAAGATGATACTTTGGTTATTATTTCATAAACATCAGAAATAAAATCTCTGCAGGCAATCCAATTTTTCGGTGTAGCAGGTCCACTCTACGTTTAGTAACATGATCAAGATTTCACAGCACGCATTCATAAACATGAGATGTAATTTCAGTAAACTTGTTAAAAAGATCAAATCAGTACAACAGAACATTTATTTTGATATACCAAATTTGAATAAAATAGGTTTGTGTGGTAAAGCATATGGCCAGTTTAGGATTATCACAAAGTATCCAAAGTAGGGAGTAATGTACAAACCATCACCTTAGCTGAGTATTGATGGAAACTCCATAGCTGCATGCCACAGACGTTGTGTTAAGAAAGAGGAGCATCTGATGTTACTGATGGACAAAGACTCATTATTTTCAACGATACAAAATAAGGTGTGTTTAATGACGTGATGAAGCCCAAACTAACTGTTGTCACTAGAGTGATCCATCAATAAAAATTCAGGGATGAAGTTCAAAAACTGGATTCAATGTGTGGTGAGGTGAAACGGAGTGGGACATGTTTAGGCTGAGTGAATAAAGTTTGAAATGTAATGCAAAGTAATTTCAGAAAAATGAAAAAGGACTGTGAGGTATTGAAATAACTAATTAAGATCACTATCTTATCAGTGTGTTTTATTATTTTTTATATTTTCATTGACACTGTCAAGTGATAATCCTTTATTCATAGATCAAGGGTCTTCCCATGTTCCATGGCTCAAGCTGCTGGATATGCTTGCAACATGTTTCTTGTAAAAAGAATTTTCCCAACAGGATTTGCAGAACAGGGATTTGTGTAGGATTTAATGTTTAATCTAACAATCACCTTGAAATCTACTGAGAACGCAAGCCCATCATTAGCATTATTTCGGTAGTACTGACTTATCTATGCTAGATGGGGTTTTGTGGATATTATTGTAATTTCAATAGTTGAGGTCGTGAGTCAATTGAAGCTAGACCGCTATGGGTAACCTAAAAGCAGTGCTCATCCACGATGCCGTCTCGCGAGGCGGCATCGTGGATGAGCACTGCTGAGGGGTCTTAAAATAAGACGAAACGCCGTCTACTGCTTTTAGGTTACCCATAGCGGTCTAGCTTCAATTGACTCATGACCTCAACTAGTGAGATTATCTATGTGTATTGTACTCCTCCTCTGTTCCACCCACTCTGATAAACATTTGCCTATTGACACATCCTACTTATGCTCACACTTTTAGAAACGCAATCATTATGCTTTAGTAATTCACAGTATTCCACATACAACTCACTCGCAGTCCATAAGTTGTAGCCGCCTAATATGCCTGTGATATGATGCTTGTGAGAATTGTTTTCCGACAGCATATGAAACACAGAGCTTCAAGTAAGGTATAAAATTTTGTCAAGCAAACACTTTAAAAGAGCCTAACACCACAAAAGGGTCTAGGGTGAGGTCACTGGCAAACAGACATTGATACTGAGTGCAAAGATTTCAACGAAAACATATGGTGCAGAATATTTTATCTGTCTCAAGCTCTCTTTGATGAGGATAAGGCGAATAGTCAGTCTTATTGAGGCTGTTTTAATACGCTTGATAATCAGACCAATACTTCTAATCTATATTTACCTGTCTATTTTGCCTATGACATCGTAAATCAGGCTTTTGTGTTATTCCCTAGCGGATGACATCCCATAAAAATATGACAATAATGGAAAACAATGGACGGTAGACAAAAGTCTTCAGCGTTTATAAACGCTTTCCTCCTTTCCAATGGGCCTTCAATTTTGATAAACGACCTCTCCGTTTCTACCTCCAACTTTCCTTCATTATTTGCATACGTTCCACCTCGTTACACACCAAAAGCTACTATCATGTATTACTGTATTCTTTTA